GGATGTTTAGATTTGACTATACTTGCTTCACCTCATGGAACTTACTACACTGCATAAAAGAGAGCTTTTGGCCCTTTTGGCATGCAAACTCCTTATGATCATTTTGGGTTTGTTTAACAAACTTGATTTCAGGAAGAACTATGATAATGAGCTCCAGAGACTACTATTGCTCCAGAAAGAAAACACTAGCTATGCATGATTCTGCAAACATCTGTGCAAACTGTGATTGGAGAACCTTCTTCAGAAGATGCTTCATCTCCTCAGTGGCACCCAAAGGTAGGAATATTGTATTCCCAATTCTTGGTTCTACTCCACCAAGAAAATGCCATTTCTGTCTGAAGAGATGGTCTGTATTCATTGGTCTTAGACCAATGATGAACAGACACCTTCAGAAACTTGCAAGACTTCCTGATGCTCTATATCCACCACATGTTTTGCTATATTAGCATATGTAAAACTGAAAAACAACACTGGAAGCTAATTATGAAGCACACTGGACTCTTAGTTGCTCTTTTCATTAATAAAAGAAGAAATACCTGGCTGAGAGCCATGACTCACACGCTCCTATTTGATCAAGTTTGGATGATGCTCAACTATGATGGGCTCAGCTCGAAGTCCAACAGCTCCAACCCTGCTATGCCCCCAATTACTCTACATTTTTATTTGAACCTGATTACATTGCCTTTTATTTCTTAATGTGTTTTTCAGCTTGTCCCATACCAAACCTGGGGAAGTACAAACTTGGAAACATATACATATTCCATAGGATTGTGGAACTCTCCTGTGATGCACTACCACACACTCACTCTACTCTGTTCTGATCATTTTGCTCAACAACCAATCGTATGCTTCGTTGCCTAAGATTTATCATCTTCATTTATTTGTCTATCAGTGATTGGGGTATTCACTGTATGTTTTCTCTTTTTTGTTGTGGTCCTAATTACAACTTGCTGTGAAAATAATGATGTTGAGATTCTTATTTCTGGTTCTCATCAGCACTGTGTACAACACAAGGAACAAGGAATGGAAAGTGATGAACACAGTAAGAAGTGCTTTTTAGACTTGTAAAAATAGCTTAGTCAGGAACCCTATTACAAACAAAGCTGCATCTGATATAATCAGAACCTGTGACATTGCTTAGTCAAGATAACCAGACACATCTCTAGAACTTCACAACACCTATTGGACAGTATAAAAGCAGAGACCAAGCACAATGCAGTATTCTTCACATCTTCAGGACTGCTGGAGAGATAGCATCTTGACCCATCCTGTGGCTGCAGAGTCTCCCTGGATATTCTGACTCTTGAACTGGAGACTACTGTGAGAGAGTGGACCCAACCTTTGGCTAAGATGCACACACACAGGTGAGCAGCCCTAGGGAGATAGGCCTTTTTTTGTTTTGTTTTGTTTTGTTTTTTGTTTTTCGAGACAGGGTTTCTCTGTATAGCTTTGGAGCCTATCCTGGCACTCACTCTGGAGACCAGGCTGGACTCCAACTCACAGATATCCTCCTGCCTCTGCCTCCCGAGTGCTGGGATTAAAGGTGTGCGCCACCAATGCCGGGGGAGATAGGCTTAGGAGTGTAGTTAGGAACTCAAAGAGTGTGAACCTTGTGTGATAATCCTCAGCATAATAAAATATAACTTTTGTTATACCAACTATGTATACTACTTTCTTGCTTTCAACAAGGTGTCTGCCTTCAAACTCCTGCCTTGGCTTCTGTTACTGATGGGCTGTGACCTCAGAACTGAATCAAGCCACACCCCCTAAGCTGATTTTGGTCACTGTATTATCACAGCAACAGAGAGCAAGCTAGAACATCGGCTACATATTTACTTTTCCATTTTACAGTTAAATAAATTGAAATCTAAAAACATTGTCTTGTTCAAAACCCAGGTGGAGCCGGGCGTGGTGGCACATGCCTTTAATCCCAGCACTCAGCAGGCAAGAGGCACGTGGATCTCAGTGAGTTAGAGGGCAGCCTGGTCTACAGAGTTCCAGGACAGCCAAGGCCGTTACAGAGAAATCCTGCCTCAAAATCAAATAATGCAAATGATCTTTTTGGTAGTCCAATTAAAGATTAAAGCTGGCTTTGGAGTTGGAGTGTGTCTCTCTCCTTCTCTAAACCCAAGCATGCTTGTTAAAGAAAAATAAAAAAATCTCTGTCTCATGTCAGAAGGGCCACCTGATATGGAACAGAAGAAAAACAAATATTTAAGGACTATTGTATTACTACTAATCTCTTTCTTTTTTAAGATTTTATTTATTTATTTATTTATTTATTTATTTATTTATTATACAGTCTTCGGCCTACATGCCAGCAGAGGGTTGAAATATTTAATTTTAAGTTTAGGGTTTATACTTAGGGAAACATCTTTTCTGTTCTTTTGTTCCTGAGACATATCCTCAGAAAGATATAGTTTTCCATGTTTTAAAATCAGTATTTGGGCTTGGAGGTGGGTCTCTAGCTCAGATAGTTGAGTGTCTGGAAGAAAGCCCTGGGCTTGAGTCTCACCAGGTATTGTGGTGCCTGCCTATAATCTCAGGACTTAGAAGTTGAAGGTCATAGCAAATTTGAGACTAGTCTTGGCTAAAAGAGATCCTGTGTCCATAAAAAAATATGGTTTTAATTTGTGCTTTCTCTTATTTTAGTATTTTCCTCCATGCAGTTAAGAGCCATTTTTGTTTTGTTTTATATGAACTTCTATTTTAAATACTGGTTTTATTTATTTTTTGACACAGGATTATTATTTATTCTTTGTGTATAGCCCTGGCTGTCCTGGAACTAGCTCTGTAGACCAGGCTGGCCTCAAACTCAAAGACACATCTGGCTCTGCCTCTGGAGTGCTGGGATTAAAGGCATGTGCCACCACCACCCAGCCATTAAATACTACTTATTTTTAAATCAAAGGAAGCTCTTGTACTTTAGATATGCTTAGTGTTTTCTACCATATTGGCTAGTAATATTTTGTTTGGTTATTGTTTCTTCATTTTGCCATCTTTCATATTATATTCTCTGCCATGATACTTACATTTTTGGCAGTCAGATATTTTGGTTGTTGCCCGTATTGCTTCCATAGTTTTAATTCATGGCCAGGCATGTTTTTCTCAGACTCATTCTGTGGCTAAATTTAATCACATTTTCTTTTAATTACTAATGTTTTTAAATTATTATTTCTCTTCATTTGAAATTTATCCAAATGTTCAAGTATAAGGAATAAATCAAATATTATCTTCACAGCAAGCAATAAAATTCAGGTTTTGTAAACACAACATTGGATAGAGGCTGGAGAGATGTTTCACTGGTAAGAGCTCTGGTTGCTCATCCAGGGAACCCTGGTTCAATTCCCAGCACTCACATGGCATCTCACACCTGTCTGCAATTCTAGTTCCAGGGGCTCCAACACCCTCTTTTAGGAGTACACTTGGTCTACAGACATACACAGGCAAAACACCCAGGAATCTAGTTGGAATTACTGAAGCTACATACTGTGGGTGAACACAGTAGGTCACCACACTCACTCCCTGCTCCTGAGGCCACAGGACTAACATACGCTCTGCTTGATCAGGTCTGCTTTCCTTTTTTCCTCAGACCTGCTCATCTCCTCTTGCTCTATGACTCTCCCCACCACTCTGGAGAACAAGGGTCTCCTAAGTTCTAACTCTTCATGTTTGTTGGTGCTGGCCTCATGTTTTCTTAGAATGTCTGCCAGTTGGTCTTGGCACAAGGCTTTGCTATCTTTGTTGTTATATGCATCTTCTACCCCCACAAACTTTTCTAACTTTTTACAATAAAAATTCAAACAAGTAGGTAATATATAGATTCATCAATTGCTAATGTTTATCTCTGCTGTGTATCTGCAAGTGTAGGCATCTATCTGTTCACATTTCCCCCTGAGTCAGCTGAAGATAAACTTTAGGATATATATATATTTCGAGACAGGGTTTCTCTGTATAGCTTTGGAGCCTATCCTGGCACTCGCTCTGGAGACCAGGCTGGCCTTGAACTCACAGAGATCCTAGGCAACATTTTTTATTCTTTATACCTAACCATCATTTTCCCAAGAAGAGTAGCCATCATTTACTAGTCTGTGGTATCTCAAATTGCTCCAGCTGTTGCTTCACTTCACATTTTTTTTTTTGTGGCCTTTAATAGCTATTTTTGCTTGGTTGGTTGGTTTTTTGAGACACAGTTTCTCTGGGTAACCCTGGCTGTCCTGGAACTTGCTCTGTAGACCAGGCTGGCCTTGAATTCAGAGATCTGCCTACCTCTGCATCCCAAGCATTGGGATTAAAGGTATGTGCCACCACTATCCCAAAGTATTTTTAAAAATTGTTCTTAATTTAGTTTTTGTGTTAAAATAAAATTACATTTATTTTTTTAAAATTCACTTTTTGGTGTATAATTCTCTGAGTTTTAACAAATATATTCACAATGTAACTATAAACAACATATAGAAAGCTCCCACTATTTAAAAAAAAAAACCTTGTGCTAACACTTAGTATTTACTGTTTTTTATTTTGTTTTGTTTTTTGCCTTATTACTTCATCCTTCCCTGAAAACACACAAATAAAATTGAACAGTAAGCAGCCATTGGAGTCTGGCTTCTTCTCCTTAGCAAAATACATTTAAGATTTATCCAAATTGTTGCATATATGGTCCCTTAGTTTTTATTGCTGAATAGACTTCATCATTTGGGTACACCAGTTTCTGTATCTCTGCACCCATTGAAAGGTCTCCTCTGTTTTATTTTCTCCAGCTTTAAGTGGTCTGTAGGTCTAATAAGGAGGATGCAAAGTTTGCCTGCCCCCTGAGAGGAAGGGGAAAGGGAAGGGAAACCTGGCTAAGATTTATGTCTCTGGGCAACGTGTGCAAGAAGCTGTAACCAGGATCCTTCACTTCTCATCCTTTAGGCGCTGTCAAAAGTTGGAGTATTAGAGGATCTCGGGAATCAAGCTAGCGGGAACATGAGCCCTTGACTGAAGAAGGGATCCGAGTAATGTTTGAGAAGATTGCAAAATACATCGGGGAGAATCTACAGCTTCTGGTGGGCAGGCCCGATGGCACCTACTGTTTCCGGCTGCACAACGACAGAGTGTACTATGTAAGTGAGATGATCCTGAAGCTGGCCGCCAACATCTCCGGGGATAAACTAGTGTCACTGGGGACGTGTTTTAGGAAGTTTACCAAGACCCACAAGTTCCGGTTGCACGTTACCCATCTCGAGTACCTTGCACCCTATGCTAAGTACAAAGTGTGTATAAAGCCTGGAGCAGAGCAGTCCTTCTTGTATGGCAACCATGTGTTGAAATCTGGCTGGGTCGAATCACTGAAAATAGTACTAGGGAGTAGTGGTTTACTCCACAGCAGACATTCCTTTGGGTTTTGGGGTGGCAGCAAAGTCTACTCAAGACTGCAGAAAAGTGGACCCCATGGCAATTGTTGTGTTTCATTGAGCAGGCATTAGAGAATATGGACAGTATGAAGAGACATTATGGGCATCCCAAGAACTTTTTGCTGTATGAGAGGACTTAGCTTTGTTTCCTGTGTGTGCAGACTTCATGTCAAATTTGGATAACACTGATATATGCAACTTGCATTCTTACTCAACAGAAATGGCTCAAAAATAGGGTTTCAGGTGGTCTAGAGGCAAAAGCAGGTGGATCACAAGTATAGGGGGCTATTTGGGCAAGTTTAAGGCTAGCCTGCTAGTGAGCCCCCTGTCTCAAAAATCTAAAACAAACCAAAACATGTCAAGTATTTGTGTGAGTAAATAGTGTTTCTATTCTCTATCTGTATCTCTTTGTTTGAATCAGCAGACTTGTTCTGATAACGAGCTCTAAGTTACTGCACTGAGGACAGGAGCAATTTTACTGTATCTGTGCTAACGCTTTTCCAGGCTAGTAATAGAATAGCAGACTAATGGTGTTGTTTTATTAATACCATTAAAGATAGAAACAGCCATATAAGGATAGTAGGCTATCCCTATGATTTACAAATGGAATTTAGTAAAAATAATAGATGGAACTAAAAAAAATGGAGTATTAATCATAAGTGAGCAATGTAGCAAATGAATAGAAGTCTGTCCTGAGTAAAGTCAGGAATCATCAGAACAGGTCTGACAAATATTCTGGAAGCAACTGTTTGTAAGAATACTTAAAAATTAATTTAATTTAAAAATATTAAAAATGTGAAAACTACTACGAATCATATTACCTAGAAATGTTCACAAGGTGAAGGCATTTTTTTTTCAGCTAGCACAGATCCACATCTAACAGGTTTATAGTCTGCTCTACACATTCTGGCTCCTTTCCTACATTTGTTTTGAAATTATCTCTAAAAACTATGCACATGAACTATTTTGCTTTAAAAATGTACCATTACTATACCTACATCTCATACATGCATGCATCTTAAGTTGTAACTTAATATAAAATCTTGGATATGATTCAGGTTATGCTATTTTCAAAGATGTACTCTACTGTTTTAATGGCTTCTGAGTATCCCACTAAGTGGATGTGCCGTCAGTTGACAAAAGGATATTTGGGTGATGTCTAAGTTTCTATTTGTGAGTTTCACTGAGATTTAATTCACATACCACAAAAATTTACTCACTTGGTTTATTCATCATTATATAACTATTGCAATTACAAACATTTTTTTATCCACTTGCAAAGATTTCCCATACATTCTAATTATCTCACCTCTGTCTGTCTATCTATCATCCATATATATGAACACACACACACATACACACACACATACACACACACACACACACACACGGATGATCATAAATCCCTGGTCTTGCAGCCCCTACCTCTCAAGGTTTGGGGATTACAGAAGTGTGCCACCATGCCCAGCTTCTCTTCTGTGGCAAAATAAAATGAAATAAAACCAAAGAAGATTTGATCAGAATTGAGATGATACTTTTGGTTGTCCTGTAACTTTAGCTTCTTTTATCCAAGAATAGTCCTCCAAGTTTTTTCCCATTATTTACATTTCAATGATGCATAACCTCGTTGCTTTCTTGTTACTTCAACTAACTTTTGGTGAGAATGGGTAGCCAGTACTCTTTTAGGATCTGCGTGTCTAAGCCCCTATGCTGCAGTTACAAGCACTGGCCCTGTGCTCAAGTTTTTATGTGGATGCAGGACATTCAAATCCAAGTCTTCATGATTGCATAGCAAGCACTGTTACCCATCGAGCCTTATCCCCAGCCTCCAAGTGAGTGCCAGGCTTTATGGACCTCTGTATCTCCAGCGCCACCACACTTGGAGTTTTTGTTTTCTGTTTAACATAGATTCTAGGGATGGAAATCAAGCAATTCACTGAGCTACATATTCAACCCTATGCAGTATTTTCTTTAAGAGGTGTGTATATGTGTGGTGTGGGTGTGGGATGTATTGTGTAGGTGCACTCAGGTGGAGGTTAGAGGTGTGTGTGTGTGTGTGTGTGTGTGTGTGTGTGTGTGTGTGTGTGTGTGTGTGTAGGACCAAAATTTGAAGTCATGTGCTTCCTGGAACACTCCTCATCTTGTTCATTAAAGCAAGGTCGCCCAATTAAGCCCAGAGTTCACCAATACCCATCCCATCCTTCTAAGCATTGGAATCACTGGCACGGCAACCATGCCCACCCAGCCTTTAAGTAGTTTCTGGGTTCACAAACTCCAGTCCCCACCCTTGTGGTCAGTATGGTAAGCTCTTAGTCATCTTCCCAGCCTCTAGACATGCTAATATTAATCAGTTCCTTGAGACGGTGACTTCTAGATGGCCACATAATCTGTGAGAATGACATCAGCATTACCGGGATATCTTTTTATCTCATTATTTTAGTATATTTATGACATTCACCCTGATCAATTACAGAACTGGACTGAGTTTCTATTTTTTCTACATTGATTGGCATTGTTTAGGTAAATAGTTTTCCTTAATTAACAGGTTTAACCTCAGTTTCTCAAAAAACACATTCTTAAATCATCCTTTCTGTTAATTGGCAAGTATAATAATTCCCTCTAAAGACACTAAATGATTTGGAAATGTTTTGCCTTAAAGCTACACAATTTAACTAAATATAATATGCCTCCACAGAGAGTAATCAATACTCTCTTTCCTGGCATATACTTTACCCCTTAGCCCATAGATTCAATTACACTATTCCTGTTTTCTTAAATTTCTTTACTGTTCCCACTTATTTGCTCCATAATTTTCAGAAATACTACAATATGTTTGCTGTTCTAACTTTCTTCTGTAGCCATCATCTCTTTAATTGTCTTTATTTACTTGACTTTCTCCCTGTATTCCCTCTGGCGGTTTCCACCATTCTGGTAATTGTATTTCCAGTTTTTTGTTGTTTCAAGCGTACCCGTTTGATGTGTAATTGGTTTGTACTTTTGGACCATTGTTTTTATTATTAGAGAGGCAGGGTCTCACCACATATGGTCTTAGAATTTCTGATCTTCTTTCCTCAAATTTATGAGTGTCAATTTAGATTTTTTTTTAAAGCTTGGTTTTCCTTTTATTTCTAAACTCTTGATATTTTTACATTCATATTGTAACTAAGTTCTTTGATAGAGATCTGTGTCCTTGACAGTTTCTTCACACTAGAGTTTGTATTCTGCACATAATGTACCTTTGGGGGTTTTAGTTTGCTTCTGCGGTGCCTGTTCTTTCCATCTTGCTAATGTTTGATGAAGGCAGTTCTTCCTAGAGCATTTCTTTCTCATACCTTATGATTCAATTCTTCCTGCCATTCTTTCTACTTTATCTGAAAATGACTTAATTTTTTAAAATACGTGTGTGTGTGTGTGTGTGTGTGTGTGTGTGTGTGTGTTTAGGTGAGAGAGCAATTTTCCAGAATTGGATCTCTCCTTTTACCATGTGGTCCCAGCAACTGAATTTAGGTCATTACCCTTGGTGGCAATCACCTTTAGCCATTGAGCCATCTGGCCCAATGAGATAGTTTTTGAGGTAAAATTTAGTAGCTGGCTATTAATTTTAATTTTTATTTTTTTTTTATCTTATGAGTAGGGGTGTTTAGCCTATATGTGTATCTCTCTAAGGGTTTCTGTTACTGTGATAAAGTACCATGACCAAAGCAACTTGAGAAGGAAGGAGTTTATTTCCATTACAATTCTCAGGTCACACTTCATCACAGAGAAAAATCAGGGTAGGAATTTGAGTCAGGAACTGAAACGGAGGCCATAGAGGAATGCTGTTTACTGGTTTGCTTCTCATGGCTTGCTCAGTCTGTTTTATTTATTTATTCATTTGAAGCAGGGTCTCATTCTGTAGCTCTGGCTGTCCTGGAACTCATTATGTAGACCAAACTGGGCTCAAACTCACAGAGATTTGCTTCCCTCTGCCTTTTCTGGGATCAAAGGCATAGAGCTCCCAGAACCACCAGACCAGGAGTGACACTGCCAACAGTAGCCTGGGGCCTCCCAGATCAATTGTCAATAAGGAAGTGCCCAACAGGATAATCTGGTGGGGGATATTTTCTCAATCCAGGTTCCCTTTTCCCAAATGACTCTATATTGTGTGAAGTTGACATAAAACTAGCCAACACAAGTGATCCCTTGTCAACTTGACACATAAACCATAAACTTTGCTTTTTTGGTCCATCCTAAAGATCTTTTTATTAATATTAATACCATAATTTAATATATTTCAACATTTAAAAGTCCTACAGTCTTTAAAATTTCAAACACTTTAAAAGTTCAGTCTTGAGGTACAGCCCACACCAGTTGGAAGAAGAGAGGACTAAAGTTAAGAGATTGAGATAAGCCTCAGAAGAGACTTTGGACTTTGAAACAAATTTGAGACTGTTGTAGATCATGGGGACTTTTGAAGTTGGACTGAATGCATTTTTACATTATGTTATGGCTACAAGCTTTTGGGGATCAGCTAGTGGAATGTTGCACTTTGAAAGAAAATGGCCCCCAAAGAGATTGGCATTATTAGGAGCTGTGGCCTTGTTGGAAAAAGTGTGTCACTGGGGGGCAGGAGCAGGCTTTGAGGTCTCCTATGCTCAGGATATTGCCCAGTGTCACAGACCATTTTCTGTTGCCTACAAGATATAGGACTCTGGGCTACTTCACCAGCGTCATGTCTGTCTGCAAGTCACCATGCTTTCCACCATGATGAAAATTGACTGAACCTCTGAACTGTAAATTAGTCACCCCAATTAAATGGTTTTCCTTTAAAAAAATTTCATCTTTTTAAAACATCTGAAGTCTCTTTCAAAGTTCAAAGTTTCTTTAAAATATCCAAAGGTCTCTAAGATATCCATAGTCTCTAAAATTCCAAAATCTCTGTCAAAATCCAAAGACTCTGTTAACTGTGGACTACTGTAAAATTTTTTAAAAAGTAAATTAAATACTTTCTTACTCCAAGAAGGAAGAGTCAGGAACAGTCATGATCAAAGCAAAGCAAAACCAAAGTCCAACAGTGTGAAG